TGATGGGAGTCAAAGGCCTGGGCGTTGCAGCTAGGGAGAGAGCACAAACAACTCAAGGCAGCACAGTACAGCAAGTTCGGCAGCTTTCATCCCCTGACCACAAGGCAGGAGAGTGGAAAGGTTGATTTCTTTCAGCCCATGGCTGCATGAAGGCTTGATGGGTCAAACTAAATTTACACCTTTTACTTAAACTGCTGGTATTCCTTCCATCTCAAATCTTTGGAAGTCACTGAATGTGATAGAAATGTGGTCTTCGGGCCAAAACAGCAGTCTGGAGCCTGTGGCTGGCTGGATTTATTTTTAGGATTAGAGGGGACCTCCCTTTAATTTAATTTAATTTAATTTTCTAACTTTTAGGATTAGAGGGGAGCCTCTTTCATTTATTCTGAACCTCAGTTTCCCAAATATAGGAAGGAGGATCCACAGCAGCTTGGGGGAGTGGCAAAACCCTGGGCTTCCTGGTCAGACGGACCAAGATGTGAGTCTCAGCTTTGGCACTTCCTAATTATATGATCTTCAGTAAGTTACTTAACTTCTTTGAGCCTTAGTTTGGGAATAATAATAAATACCTTCTTATTTCATTACTTCATTCATTCGACAGACATTTATTGAGTGCCTCTTCTGTACCAAGCAATGTTCTAGGTCTGAGTCCACAAAGATGAGTGAAATAGACATAGTTCCTGGCCTCCTGGAGCTTATGGTCTGTGGTGAGAAATAAATCACAGACACACAAAGCACTTACGACCGTGCCTGGCTTTTAACATTTAACATAAATGTTTTGAGTTGACCAGAAATGTAATTATTGACATTCAGTACCATTTGTTATGCCTTCTTTCCTTTTTCATTGATCCCTATCCTATCTCAGGGCCTTTGTACATGATATTCTCTCTGTCTGGCATGTTCTTTCCTCAGCTATTCCCATGGCTCCTTCTCTCACTTCATTCTTATCTGAACTCAAATGTCACCTCCTCAGAGAGGCCATTCCTAACCACCTATTAAATAGCCCTCCCGTGTCCATTATGTCTCAACAAAAATGCAAAAATCCTTTTTTTAAAATAGCCCTCTCACCTCTTTCACATTCTATCCACTTATCTTACTTTAAACCCATTCTTGATAGGTTTAAAAATTATCTGTCGGTGTTAAGTTTCTCTTAGATTTAAGGCAAATTTTTGTGGTAAAATTTCTACAATAATCATATTTTTAAAAGACAGACTTGAAAACACTTTACAGTAGAAGATATAACAATGACAAATAAGCATATGAAAAGATGCCCAGCATCACCAGTGATCATTTTTAAGAGACTGATACTACTAAATGTTGGCAAGAACAACTGGAACTCTCTCATGAGAGCAAGAACACTGCTGATGGAATGCAAAATGGTACAGCAACTTTGGAAAATACTTGGGCACAGTTAAACTATACACTTAAACCATACAACCCAGTAAACGCACTCCTAGGTATTTACCCAAGAAAATTGAGAACGTATATACATATAAGGACTTGCATATGAACATTCATAGCAGCATTATTCATAATTCTAAATTTATAAAAACTGGTAACAACCCAAGAGTCTATCAACTGATGAATCGACAAACAAAATGTGATGTACTCATACAATAGAATACTACTCAGCAATAAAAAGGAACAAGCTACTGATACATGCTACAACATGCGCAAATCTCAAAAACATCATGCTAAGTGAAAGAAGCCATACTCAAGGGCTACACAGCCTATCATTCCATGTGTATGACATTCTGAAATCAGACAGGTGGTTATCTGGGGCCAGGAGTGGGGAGAGGGGTGACTACAAATTGGCACAAGGGAATTTTGGGGGATGCTGGAAATATCTTGAGTGTGATGGTGATTATACAACTGTATATAATAGCTAAAACTCATTGAACTGTTCATGTAAGATGGGTGAATTTTATTGTAAATGAATTATTTCTTAATAAAGCTGTTACAAAATTTTTACACATATAGATATATATGCATAGAAAATGACTCTATGCTTATCTCTTGTGGTGGGATTTGGGTGCTTTTTATTTTCTTCTCTTTGCTTATCTAAATTGTGTAAAATTTCCACAGTGATTATAGAGTGCTTTTGTAGAGAGAGAAACCAACAATAAAATGCCATAAACATAAATAATTGGGTTATTCAACAAGGAATCTCTTGTTGAGCCAACATTGTTTGCTTGTAATGAGGCCCATTTGGGTCACCTCCTTCTCATCTGTCTTTTCTCAGTGGCACTTGGAAGGGGTGAGCTGAGGAAATGGATGCAAAAAGGTACAGAGCTTAATAGCAATGCTTTGTCCATCCAGCTCTCGGTTTGGCTCTCACCTTGATTTTTGAATGAATACACAGTAGACTAATGATAGGGGGGCTCTCATCCTACTTTGCCAACTCCATCTTCCATTCCAACCCAATCAACTCATGTGTCCTCCAGGCCCCAAGAGAAAGTCCTCATAGGGCTGGACGGATTGTGGTTTGTAGGGTCTAGGCTGGGCCCCTGCCTCCAGCTCACATTGGTCTGTTGAGTGCTGCGTGGTCTTGGAGAAGTCAAGAGGCCATTCATCAATGGAGACCCATGATTAGAACAACTGCCTCATGCTGCACATGGCGGGACAGGACACGGAGTTCCTCTAAGAGCCTCTCTGGGGTGCGGGTGCTCAGTGTCAACAAGCCCTTGGCTCTTTTCCCCATCACACATCCAATTCGTCTCCTAACTTTCTGCCTGTGAAAGGCAGTCACCTTAGGAGACCTGACCAGCCCGTAGGTGGAGGATGCCACATCAGGAGAAGTCTGCATTGCTTGCCATTGCACGCCTGGGGGTAGCCAGACAAGGTCTCTGACAGGGCCCAGGTGTCAGGACACAGAATTCTAGTGAGGATAATAAAGCTACACTTACAAAAAAGGTTCAAAAATACCCTATGGAGGGAGCTCACAGTTTTCTAGCCACTCTAGTCCAGAAGTAAAGCCCAGCAGAAGCTCAGAGCAGTTGGGGTGGGCACAGGGGAGTGAGACAAATCATAGCTTTCCTCAGAGCTTCTACTTCATTACCCATAAATGCTAGGTTGGGAGAAATCCCAGGTCCCCAAACTGGGGTCTCTGTCCTCAGGGTTCACAAAGGCACTATTTTCAGGAACTACTTCTAATATCTTAAAACTCCACACATTATTCACAATAGTCAAAAGGTGAAAACAACCCAAGTGTCCATTGACTGATGAATGGGTAAACAAAATGTGATGTGTGTGTGTATACACACACATATATAACAATGGAATATTCTTCAACCTTAAGAAGGAACAGAGTACTGCACATGCTGCCACATGGATGAACCTTGAAGACATTATGCTCAGTGAAAGAAGCCAGTCACAAAAGGACAAATACCGCATGACTGTACTTGTATGAGGCACCTAGAGTAGTCAAATTCATACAACAGAAAGTAGAGTGGTTGGTGCCAGGGCCGCAGGGGCTGGGAGGGATGGGCAGTTATCGTTTAATGCGTCCAGAGTTGCAGTTTGGGATGTTAAAAAAAAATTCTGGAAACAGTTATAGCAATGGTTACACAATAATGTGAAAGCACTTAATGCCACTGAACCGTACACTTAAAGATGGCTACAACGGTAAATTTAATGTTGTGCACGTTTCACCACATACACAAAAAATGAACAGTCCACAGGTACCCACAAGGCCTCAACCCCTCACGAAAGCATCAAGTCATGCCTGTTACCACTCAGATCAAATCTCCGAATGGGCAGGCAGGACCTTTGATTGATCTTCAAAAAGAAATAAAAATAACAGCAGAATACATCAGTTATGACCTAGTGTAGTTTTTGTGGTAGGCACAGCCTTTCAGAGCATGGCATCTTCGGGGGAAATGAAACAAAGGGGCCTTGGTGGAAAGGTTGGCTTGAGTGAGTGCCCTGGTTTCCCCCTGCTGTGGAGGCTGTGATTTTGTGGTTGAGGCAGTCATGCTAAAGGAGAAACGCACCCAGAGGAGAGACCAGACTGTGTCTCTGGACAGATGCCACCCAGGCACAGGGACAAGCATTTGAGTTTGAGATGGCCTTTTCTCTGGCCTATTTTTAGAGCCTGGAGTCAGAGTTCTTCACAGTAAGCAGCTGGGAACTCTCTGTCCTACATGACACATAACACTGATACAGTACCAAAAATGGGGCCCACACATGCACTAGCTAATGAGGGACAGGATGGCACACCCTCTCTTGAGACCCTCATCCATCACCCCAGACCCCTGGATCGTGTGGAGTTGTGATGGATCCTGGCAGCCCGCTCAACACATGGGTTTATAGATACTGTGTGCAGCACAGCTCAGGAAGGATATTACAAGAATTAACACAATAGACTTCCATCTCCCGGACCAAGATCTTGAGGGTGAGGATTCTGGTTCACTATCAGGCAAAAAACTTTCGCGAGAATTTCCCGCTCTCCTCCCCCTTATGCCCAATCCAGCTTCCTTGAAAGGCTGGATGCAGCGTGGAAAGGAACCATCAGAAGACAAATTCTAATTCAAACCTTTGCGGCCTGCGACCTTGGCCACTTTGAGCCTTTGTTACTTTGTGAAATGGCAACAACATCTCCTTCCACCTCATTTTATGAATCAAATGAGACAGTGTCTGGGGACATGCTTGGAGACAACATATTGTACAATTGCTTAAGAATTTTCTTCTGCCCCAACATCTAGTACATAATGTGGAGTAAACACGGTTAAGTCAATGTGTATCGATTGGATACAGTCAAAGCCTCAGAGTCACATTCGCTGCCCTGACCCCTGGAAATGTTCTTTTTTTTTTTTTTTTTAAGATTTTATTTTTTCCTTTTTCTCCCCAAATCCCCCCGGTACATAGTTGTATATTCTTCGTTGTGGGTCCTTCTAGTTGTGGCATGTGGGACACTGCCTCAGCGTGGTTTGATGAGCAGTGTCATGTCTGCGCCCAGGATTCGAACCAACGAAACACTGGGCCGCCTGCAGCGGAGCGCGCGAACTTAACCACTCGGCCACGGGGCCAGCCCCCTGGAAATGTTCTTTTTTATTCACTAAAACTCTAGCAACACTTTGTCTTCCATAGAGATGAGGGGGAAATGTCCAGTTAACTGCAGGTTATTGGGGCCGTGCAAGGACCACCGAGTCAGTCCCATCTCCTTCCATCTCAGGAGCAGTCTCCTTTCTTCAAGCTCATGTAGGTGTGCTGAGTGAGAGCCAAGTACACAAGGGACTTCCTGATCCCCAACCCTTTTTAGGGTACATGAGTTATCTGTGTTGGAAAGGGGTTTAGTGTTTGTCCTCCATGAAGCCCCAAAGGGCACCACAGCTTCCCTTGGTCAACTTCTCCGCCCATTCCCCAGAGGCAGCAGGGAAAAAGAGGCCTTGGGGAAGGCTTTGTGCTTGCAGCTCCAGTGAGCAGCTACATTTCCAAAGGCTGAAAGGGGATACTGTGTTCTCCCTTTCTCCTGTCCATGAATAAATAAACCCACGCCTCCCTGTGGCCTTGCAGCTGCCTGTTGCATTATGAGTTCTTGTTGGGCCTGGGGGATGGCAGTGGGCCCTATGAGGAAAGGAGAGAGAACAGAGCTCACCCGGCCCTTCTCTGGGCTCAGACCGGGAGGGCAACACCTGGAGGGCAAGACTCCCGGGGGTTCATTCTGCAGCTGCTCAGACATGACGTCCTGATGTAGTACTTAGGAAGAGAATGGCCCTGGGCACCTCTTGGAACAAAGACAAACCTACGCAGAGCTGGCAGGAGGGGCGCACCATGTTCTTGTGGGAAGAGGTCAAGGAAGGTGGCTTCAGTAATACATAAGGGACTCCAGGACACCAACACAAAGCATCAAATGGACAGGCCAGCTTTTCTTTCTGCTTCTTCCCAGCTGCCTAATGAGGATTTACACATTTCACTGTGCTCCTCCTTAAGGGGCCCCTCTGGAGAAAGGTGAGATGGTAAAAACCAAACAGGCCCTGGAATCAGGCCCTGTGAGATTTCCAGCTGTGAGAGTGGGCTGGCCTCGTCTCCTCTCCAGGCCTCAGTTTCCCATCTGTAGAAGGGGGATAAGAAAGCCTATTCCCAAAGCATTGTGAGGATTCACGAGATGACGGTTGTGGCGCCCACCACACAGAAGGGTTTTGGGGAAACTTGGCTCCTCTTCCCTTGCCCTCCTTGGCCTCTATCTGAGGGGGAAGGTAGCAGAGATCACTAGCAGCGGCCCACTGCCTTGTATTCGAGAAACAGGCACTATGGTACTCTCTTCAAAACCACACTGGGCTGCTTTCAGGTCCAGGAATCACATGTCCAGTCGGCGCCCTCAGGTTCAGGGCCCGTCCTCCGTGTACCACTCAAATGTCCCAGGCAGGGACGGTGAGGGGCAGATGGGAGCAGCTGGGATCCTCCCCGGCCATGCCATGGTGGGCCACCCGGCCATTGCGCAGCGGGAGGCGGCCAGGCCTGGGGGCCCCACTGCTCGGCCCCGACTCAGAGGGCAGGCCCGAGTCGCTGGGCGGCACCTCCACGAAGACCCGTGCGCGCACGAGCCGGCCCCGCCGCTCCGAGTAGGCCGCCCTATGGCTCCCCCAGGGCGGCGGGCAGAGCTGCGCGCGGAAGGCGGCCTGGAAACCGCGGCGGAAGTTCTCGTTGAAGTAGCCGTAGATGATGGGGTTGGCGCTGCTGTTGAAGAAGGCCAGCCAGTGCGCGAAGGGGAAGGCGTAGACGGTGACCAGATGCAGCTGCGGCTCGCTGAGGTGCCCGTAGTCGATGAGCAGCAGCAGCGCCCAGAGCGGCAGCCAGGACAGCGTGAAGAACAGCGCCACCATGGCCAGCATGTGCACCACGCGCGCCCTGCGCCGGGCCCCGCGCCCGCCCTCCGCCGCCGCCCCGCCCGCCCGGCCCGGGCCCGAGGCCTGGAAGAGCTTGCGGGCGATGCGGGCGTACATGACCACGATGAGCGCGAGTGGCGCCAGGTAGATGTGCGAGAAAAGCACGGTGGTGTAGACCTTGCGCATGCCCTTCTCGGGCCAGGCCTCCCAGCACGAGTAGAGCGGGTAGGAGCGGTTGCGGGCGTCCACCATGAAGTGGTGCTCCTCGCGCGTGACGGTCAGCGTGACGGCCGAGGGGCACATGATGAGCAGGGCCAGGGCCCAGATGACCGCGATGGTGACCAGCGCCTCCCGCAGGGTCAGCTTCTCGCGGAAAGGGTGCACGATGCAGCGGAACCTGCGGCGAGGGATGAAAGAGAGGCGGGGAGGTCTGGGGGGGCCCCAGTCGTCCCCAAGTGAGAGCCAAGCCTGGCTGAGGGCTGGCGGGGTGTGGGCGCTTGACAGTCATCATCGCACCTCAGGCAGCGTCAAAAAACAGATCAGAAGTTAATTAGGTTAGTTTGCAAGTAAATTGGTTTCTCACCTGGGAGGGAGTCAGCTGCCAAGGAACAAAGGCAAAAACAGGATGTACAAGAGAAGAGGGGAGGAGGGAACTGCAGGCGGGAAACAATGAACCTGTCTGTGCACCTTGGGGGGTAAACTTGCAGCTAGCAAAGCGATCAGTCTGCACATTCTGTCCTCGAGTAGGCTGATTAGGTAAATGTACCAAAGAAAACAATGTTTAGCTGTTTATGGATTCTCCAGAAAACCTTGGAGGTTCAGATGTGGAGCCTATCTATGTAACAGGCACACCCAACTCCTTGTCCTCCTCCCAATATGGGCACTTCTTAGCTCCGCCCTTTCCAGAATCTAGTATCCTCATCCTAGTTCCACCTCTGCCCTTACCAAACCCAGTCTTTTGTGACCCAATGAAGTAGGTGGTTGGGGTGGTGGAACTGGGTTCCTGTCTCTGCAAGGCCACTAACTACCTGGGTAGTTGGGGCAAGTCCCTCTGCTTCACTGATCTTCATTTGTTACCATTGTTGAATGACATGTGCGGTATGCAACCCCTCCCAGTGGTGTTTGCAGTATTCTTCAAGTTCCCATCTCCTCCAGAAAGCCTTCCTGGTGTGTCCCAGGATTCTCCTCCATCCATTTTGTGTGTAAGGAAGAAATAAAATAATATTAAGAGCTGACATTTGGACACTGTGCCAGATAGTGTGCATCACCTCTACAATCAGAAGCTCACTGAAGCCTTCCAGCCACCCTGCAGGGTATTTACCATTTTACAGATAAGACAACTTAGGCTCAGAGTGTGAAGTGACTTAGTGAAAGGGCTCCCTGGAGGGAGGAGGGGGAGAAAGACCATTTGCAGTTGGGTCTGTCTTTCATTGCTTGCAAAGCCTCCTTGGCCCCCACCCCCCCCCCCCCCCCCCCCCCCCCCCCCGCTCCATCACATTAGCAGACTCATGCTTATCAGAGAATCTGATGGAATCTGGAGCTGAAAGACCAGGAGTAGCTGGAGACAGGGTGGCGATGGCGGGTCAGGAGGGCCTGGATGGCCAGGAAGCAGCTGCAAGGCTGTGGAGGTGGCGTGGAGGGGCAGGGACACACCCCTCCTCCCCAGCCGTGCTGAGGCCACTGTGAAGCCGAAGCTGGCTCGCCTGGCTCAGACTCATGGATGGCAGGATTTCTGCTGCTCAGGAAATAAATGAGGAGGATCCAGGCTGCCCCAGGGAGAGAAGCCCGAGGCGTCCCAGCCTACATACCGATCTACAATGTCCTCTGGGAAGCATAGGACATCCTGACCTGATCTGACCTGATTTGTATCCAAAGTTAGAGGACCACCCGATAACCAGATGCCACCTGCACTGATACCATTTTAATGACTTTTTAAATGATTTTTCCTTTGTCTAGTAAAAAATAACTCACATACCTATAACTTATAAATTTAGCCCTGCCCTCAACCCATTGCAGCTCTTCACTGCCCATGGGCCCTGTCCCCTGGAATCCCTATTAAATCTCCTTAGAAGCTGTCTCTGGGCTTTCTGGAAGGAGGTGATGGTGTCCTCTGCAGGTCTTCCAAGTCTAGTGGGCAGCCAGACCCACAATCCTTCCCTGTACGGCTCAGAATCCAGCCCCACCCACTGCTGAGCAGCCCCGGCCTTCCAGCCAGCCCAGCACTGAAGGCAGTGGCTCTTCTCCAGGCTGGGCCCCCAGTTGGCCTGGGATAACCTAGTCGGGAAGCCTCTCACCTTTCCACAGCAATGGCCACCAGTGTGAAAACAGAAGCCGACACGGACATGCCCTGCACCAAGCCGCTCATCTTGCACGTGGCGTTGTCGAAGGGCCACCCTGCAATGACAGAGGCCACCATAGAGTAAGAGAAGTCTTACTCACAAAGAGCCAGGGGACTCTGACCATCTAAGCCCGTCCCCTCTGTGGCTTGGATCTTTCTTCTGTACTGCCAGTTAGTCATACGTCTCGGCTTACACACTTCTAGGAATAAGGAACTGACCAGGCCATACCACTATGGACAGTTCTATTAGAGAGACAATTTTTATATTGACCAGCGATTTCTCTCCATGAGCTTTGGATCCACCCAGGCCTGCCTGGCTTTCTGCTCCCATGGCCCTGCCCCGGGTTCTAGGCCAGTGGTTCTCAACACTGGCTCCTCTCTAGAATTGACTGAGAACTTTGAAAGAATGAGCATCCAGGCCCAGACTGGACCATTTACAATCAGAATCTCTGGGGGTGGGACCGAGACATCAGTATTTTAAAAATCTACCCAGAGGATTGGAGTGGTAGCCAAAGGTGAGAACCACGAGGACAAATCAATCCTGACTCCCAGGTTCGGGGTGATAGAAGCAGCTTCATCTTCTCTTACCAATATCCTCACTCTGATCCCCAGGCTTCTGCTCTGTCAGGAGACCTGGGCCCCACCTGCCCTCAGGATTAGTGACCAGATCCACATCCTGGTTCCTGAGGCCGTGTGTTGGTAACTGCCTGGCATCTCTGCCCCCTCTGCCTGGTACCCCACCTTATTCTTGTCTACTGTGCCCAGAGACAAGAGTCCTCTCCCAAGGCTGGGGCCCTCTTTTCACCAGCTGTCTTTCCTGAGTTGACGTTCTGCCTGCACGTGGACTGAGTACCAGACGCTGTCTCAGTCAACCCTCACAACAACCCTATTATTATCGTCTCCTTTTTACAGATGAGAAAACTGAGGGGGAGATTAATTAATTTACAGTCTCTTTGCCTGCTACGGATTAGCAGTGAGAGTTTGGTCCGGGTGCTGGGAGTTTAAATGTCGTGGAGAGTCAGCATCGCTGTAGAGAGCAGGTTGGTTCTCTGTTGGAAAACTGGGTATGTGCAAACTCCCTGGCCCAGCAATTCCTCTCCTGAGTTCCTATCCTGCAGACATTCCCCGTTGTCCGTAAACACGTTCACAGCAATGTTTTTATAGTGATGGAGACTCGGAGGCAGTGGTGTGCTGGTAAATCAACTCTCAAAAAAGAAAACAAAAAGTTCTGGTTTGCAGCATTTGCCAATTCCTGTGGTGTAAAATCTCCCTACATAGCAAAGTTCATACTATCAACATGATGTCACTGAACACAGACAAGCTGGCTCCAGTACACCACTAGGTAGAGGCCACCTGGGGGCCCATCCCTGGGAGGTCAGAGGGAAGATGTGGTAGACACACACCGTGGCCTACCAGGCAGCAGTGGGAAGCAAGAGGTTAGATGCACCCATGGCAACGCCAATAGAAGGCTTAGCGAATAAAGTAAGAAATAGAATGAGATCTGTAACACAAAACCGCTCAATTAAGTTAACAATACAGCCACAAAAATAACCAGGAAAATCTTGACAAAGAAAAATGACAAGGGGAACCAGCCCCTACCAGACATTAGAAAATACTATTAAACGTCTATAATTAAAACAGTGTGGTGTTGGTGCGTGAATAGACCAGCAAGCAGGCCAGCAGAATAGGAGAGAAAGCCCGGCAACAGACTCAAGTAGAGTAGAAGTTCAGTATGTGATAAAGAGGGCATCTGAAAGCATGTGCAAAGATTGACATTTTAATAAATGGTGCTGGGTCAACTGGGTAGCCATTCGGAAAAAGATCAAACTAGATCCATATCTCACTCCATACTCAAGAATAATTCCCAAGTGGATTAGGGGTATAACTGCAGAATATTAAACTGTACAAGTACTAGGGAAAAAACCCATAGGCGAATTCTTCTTTAATCTATGTGTAGAGAAAGGCTTTCTAATTATGTTTTAAAATCCAGAGGCAATAAAAGAAAAGATTGATAAATTTGACTACATCATCAAAATTTTTAATTTTATAGCAAAAATTTCTGTAAATAAAGTCAAAAGAGAATTGGCAAACTGGGAGAAAATATTTGCAACATATGCCACAAAGTGGTATTACTCTTGATATGTAAAGAACCCTTAAAAATTGAGGGACAGAGGACTAAAAACCTTATGGAAAAATGTGAAAAAGATTCACAATTCACATGAAAGATTTAAAAATTGTCTTTAAACATATGAAAACAGTTCGAATCTCACTCATAATTAGCAAAATGCAAAAGCAAGGCTGTGGAGACAGGGGAGCTCGAATTGCTGGTGGGAATGCAAACTGATACAGCTCCGTGGAGGGGAGCCAGGTGATGCCTACTTCGTGCAGGTAGCTCTTGATTGGGCAATCTCACTCTGGTGATCCACCCTGGAGGTACACCTCCAATATGCAAATACATATGCACAAGCTATTCATGGTAGCATTGTTTGTAATTGCAAAATATCTAAACAACCTACATTCCCATATACACGAGTGGTTGAATAAACTACAGCACATGTACACAATGGAGTATTATACAGCTGTAGAAAAGAATGAAGCCCTCTATGACTGATATGGAGTGATTTCCAGGATATATCACTAAGCGCAAAAAGGAAAGTACAAAGAGTGTCTATAGTATATTACCCTTCATGTAAGAAAGAAGGGGATATAGGAAAATATACGCTTATCCACTTGGGCAAAGGAAGCACAAGAAGGATAAATCTGAAAATAATGAGACTGGCTAACTGTAGAGGGAAGCGTAGGAATGGGGTGAAATAATGGAGGGCAGGGGGAATCGCTATGACAGAGGAGTGACACTTCTCTGAGTGTATCTTTTGTTATGACTCTCTTTAGAACCATGGCAGTGTTTCACATACTCAAAAAAGAAAGAAATTAATTTATCAGGGCATAAGGAAACCCAAAGTGGAAGACAAACAATAACAAATAAACCTGAATGTATTACAAGTGAAGAATAACCCCAGTGAAGGGGCATGGGGAAACAAGAAACTAACCTAAGTCACTTGGGAAAACAGCATACGGACTCTCTATATAAGAACTGGACACAGATACTGTACTCTCATTAAGAAATTTGTTTCTGGGGCCAGCCCGGTAGCACAGTGGTTAAGTTCACATGTTCCGTGTTGGTGGCCCGGGGTTCGCCGGTTCGGATCCCGGGTGAGGACATGGCACTGCCTGGCAAGCCATGCTGTGGGAGGTGTCCCACGTATAAAGTAGAGGAAGATGGGCATGGATGTTAGCTCAGGGCCAGTCTTCCTCAGCAAAACGAGGAAGATTGGCAGCAGATGTTAGCTCAGGGCTAATCTTCCTCAAAAACAAAAAAAAGAAATTTGTCTCTCACAGAGGTATGGGTTAGCAATACTAAAACTACCTTATGTGTATACTAAGACTGAACAAATAAGTAAATATGCTGTGGATAAATAGAGCTAGATTTCTCACTGTCAGAGAAAGAAGCTACAAATGAGGAAAAGAGGGAAGTTAAAATGAATCCTGTGATGTTGGACTGGAAGCGGAGGTATTGTGATTTGTACGTACAGAGGGAGAGATAAAGAAACAACGGTGTGTATTTTAAGTGTGTGTGTTAGCATGCATGTATTTCCTAGCTCTGTCCCTTCTACCAAATCCCTGCTAAATGGCCAGCTAGTCCCTGCTTAGACACTCAGTGACAGGTAGCTCGCTGCCTGAAAGACAAGACTCTCTTTTGTTGGAGAATAGCTCAAATAAGTGGATCTTTAGGTCCTCATTCAGAGGAAACCTGTCTCCCTACCATTTCTTCCCACTGGCTCTAGTTCTGCACACGGGAGCTACCTGTGAGAGTGAGGCTGAATGGTGTAGTGGTAAGAAATAGGCATGTGAGAATGTGGGACTTGACGGTTAGCTGTGTGACTACAGAACGGTCCCTTAACCACTCTGAGCCACAATTTCCTCATCCATTAAGTGGGGATGATAATAACACATACTTTATCGGATTGTTGTGAGGATTAATTAAGATAATGCAGGCAGAGTACATCACACAATGCCTAGCACAAAGAAAATAATTAATTTATTGTTTCTATTATTTCTGGTCTAATTACTCAGCCACAAGACGGTCTTGAGAGTTTGAGACCATAGCATCTTGGCCAAGAGACAGGGCAACAACGCTTTCAGGGGTGAGGGGTACTCCTACTGCCTCCACTGCCTCCACTCACCAGTGATGAGGTTGTCCACAAGGGTGGTGGGCATGCAGAAGATGCCCACCAGCAGGTCACTGACGGCCAGGTTGAGGATAAACATGTTGGTGACGGTGCGCATGTGCCGGTTCTTGAGCACGATGAAGCAGACCAGAGCGTTGCCCACCATGCAGAGGAGGAAGATGAGCACATAGGCCACAATGAACATGGCCGCCACTGGTGAGGAGTGCTGGTAGTAGGAGGAGAAGGTGAGGTTTGCCGCCGGGGTCGCCTCGGCGTTACTCCCATTCTGGCTTGGGAGCCAGCGGCTGTTGGGAGGCTGGGCGTGCTTCCCTAGGAGCAAAGGAGCATATGGGTCAGGATCCTGGGCAAAGAAGAGATGACTGACTTCTCACTACTGGTGAGACCCTTCTGTGCTCCACACCCTGCCCTGCCCTAGTACCCAGACCTTGTGCTCTACTCCAGTCGCAACTGGATGCACTGATCCATGACTTGCAACCCACAACCACTCAAACCCTGATTTCACACCTCCCACCTGGTCCTGTCCACAACTCGTTCCCCAGTGTCAGCTATTATCCATTTGCACACAATCCCCTCTCTGCCCCAGAGGCTGACCTCCAAGGACTACCTCACCTAGGTTCCCTTGCCCTCCAGTTTTTGACAGGGCTCAGCCAATGGGAGGCACTGAAGGAGACTGAAGGACTGGAGGAAAGAGAGGTCAGGGTATTCAGCTCCAGACTCTCTCCCTGCCTGGCCAGTTCTGCCTGTAGGGCTGTCTTTATGGGCGCAGCTCCCGTCAGGTGACTCCTCTTCTGTGGCTCCAGCTTTGGGCCACACTGACACTGTTTCCTCTCTGCAGTCTCTGGGTTCTTCACCATCCCTTGCTGGTTCTCTTACCCCGCCCCCTACTCCCCTATAAAGTCCCTCCACTAACTCTTTGCAGTTAAACCCTTTCTGAATGCACCACTCATTTTCTTCTGGGACCCTGACTATTACACCCTTAAAATCTTTGATGTCCCTCCTCATCATCTCCACAGAACTTTAGTTGGGAAAAGCAAGAAGGCAGTAGAGGAAGGGAGATTGAAAGGGGATTGTGACCCAGAGCTAAGGAGCAAAGGCATACATTAAAGTCACCAGAAAGCCATTCCAAGGCAAGGCTAGCACCCATCCTTCACTTCCCCGCAGGTGGTGATCAGCTGCTTCATTTGGACAGCATTTCACAAAGCACTTCCATACCTATTATTTTATCTAACCCTCCCAGCTAAGTATTAGCCCCATTCAAAAATGGAGAACTGGGATCAGAGGGGTTCCGTGACTGGCTCAAGGTAGCAGAGGAGTATGCGGCAGAGTTGGCCCTGCTCTGTGTGTCTCTGAATCAGTCCGGGGCTTTATTGTGTGTTTCTCCAGCCTCGTTTGGAAGTGTCCCACCACAGCTCCTCTGGGAAGTCATTAGGTGTGGTGACTCACAGTGTTGTCTTGTAAACGCTCCTCTCGCCTTCCTGTGGGACCGACTGTGGCCTGTTCCAGGGGATGAACAGTCTTTGGGGAGTTTTCTGTTGCATCCCAAGCTCAGCCACTGGCCTGGAGGCCTGTCGGAGGCTTGGGACCTGGAGCCTAGGGAGACCCTGGGGGGAGCAAGGGCTAATAAGCTGGTGCTACAGGGACCGCAGGGACCAGCAGGTGCAGCAGGGGCACTCGGGTGGGGGTGGAGGGCCTGCTGGTGGAGGTGGAGAAGCTGGAAGCTTCTGGCATGCAGCAAGAGGAGGACATGACACTCCCCTTCTTAGGCCCCCTAGGAGCACCCAATTTATCCAAACGTCTTTATTTTAATACAGAAAATGTCAAACGTAGAAGAGAGAATGTTTTAGTGAACATATACAAGAGTATATAGTTTAATGAACTATTACAAGAGAGAACCCCCACATGTCTATCATCCACTTTCAACAATTATCAGCTCAAGGCTAACCATGTCTCACCCATTCCCCCACCTCTCTTTGGATTATTTTGAAATGAATATTACATCACTTCCTTTCATGCATAAATAGTTCAGTTTGTATCTCTAAAAAAAAAATCAAACCCCATAACCATAGTATCATTATCATAACAAAATTAACAATTATGTAATAATATTATCAAGTATCCAGCAACTAGCATTCAAAATTCCCTGATTGTTACATAATTTTTTAAATAATTGGTTTGTTTGAGTGACGATCCAAACAAGATTTCTGTTTCTATTATCTATTATTATGCTGCAAACTACCCCAAAATTTAGTGGTGTGGCACTGTGGCTTGGCAGTCTGGGTGGCCCTTCTGCCGGTCTCTCTTTGGATCACTCATGCAGCTGTGGTCATCTGATGGCTCGACTGGGACTGGAACGTCCAATACGACCTCCCTCACATGGCTGGTGGTTAGTGCTGCCCTGTGTTAGTTCTCTCAACACCTCTCCTTCTCCAGGAGAATAGACTGGGCTTCTGCACAGCTTATTGGTCTCAGGAGGCCAAGACAACAAGAGAAGAAGCTACAGGCTTCTTAAGATCTCGGCTGCAGAATTTTCGCATCATCACTTCTGCCACATTCTGTTGGCCAAGGCAAGTCACAAAGTCGGCCCAGATTCAAGCCAGAGTAGAAACAGTCTCCTCCTCTTCACGGGAGGAGTGGCAACGTTACACTGCAGAAGAGTGGTGATCACAGGGAATCACGATTCGTGAAGATCCGTCATTGTAAAATCTACCACCACCTCCACATTGAGTTTGGCTTGTGGAAACCAATAAACAGAAACCTCATTAAAATGGATTCAGGAGGCCACAAAGGGGAGCTCTGACACCCTGCAATGATTTCAGAGCCCAAGAGGAAGAAGAAAGACTTCCTCTTCTTGCCCAGCAACAGCTCGGCCAATGAGAGACTGTCACGACTCAGCCACTGAAAAGCCACTGCACTTGGAATTCCCAGTCTCCTCCAACGATTCTGTCTACAATAGTCCTCCCACTTCCTCTTCCTCTCTTTAAAAGAGTTTTTCCTCTTTTTGCTGCTGGGGAAGTGGATGTGGCTTGCCATGCCTGCAGACCCCGAACTGCAATATTTTGGTGATCCAAAAATTTGGTAAACCCATTTTTTCTGGAGAAATAACTGGCTGTCTATTTGATTAAGGTCAATATTTTGATCGCTGTCTATTTCATGGTCAATTTCTCATGGGGGATCCAGAAAAGACCCCCAACGACTCCAAGACTGGTGAGCAAACAGGTGTGGTACCCACAACAGAGCCCACTGAGCTGGCTGCTTTTCTCACCGACCCTGGAGTTGGAGGGTGAGTCTTCCTCCTGGATCTGAGCTTCTGCCCTCTTTGTGTCGGAGGCTCTCCAGGCTTTACTCGAGATCTACTTTCAGACTTCATCCTGAGCCCAGCCCTGTGGCCTAGTGGTTCAGTTCGGCACGCTTCACTTCAGTGGCGTGGATTCATTTCCTGGGTGTGGACCTAAACCACTCGTCTGTTAGTGGCCATGCTGTGGCGGTGACCCGTATACAAAACAGAGGAAGACTGGCACAGATGTTAGCTCAGGGACAATCTTCTTCAAGCAAAAAGAGGAAGATTGGCAACAGATGTTAGTTTATGGCAAAACTTCCTCAGGAAAAAAAAAAAAAGTCTTCCTCTTTTTCTGGTTAAAGCCTTGTTTGTCTGTGAGTACTCACTCGCGTGGCACTTCGTCCTGACTCTTTGATTCAGGCTGTTCCTTCGAACTGCACTAATCTTCGGTCCAATTTCTTTTGGAACTGGACTGTTTCCACCGAAACTGGTCAGCCTTGGGTCCGACTTTTGGACTGTTGATTGGAACTGTGCCATCAAGACTTTGGCCTGACTCTCTTGGGAGCGGACTGTCCCTTGGAACTATATTGACCCTTGGGAACTGGTTCTTTGGAACCGTGTTGATCCAACCCTCAGTCCACCTTCATGAACTCGGCATGTTCCACTGGGACAGGCTGGGAGTAAGCCTGCAGGCTGCTTGAGCTGCTCAAGCTGTTTAAGCTGTTAGAGCTGTTTAAGCTGTTTGAGAATTATTCCTTTGCTCTAGAGAAAAACCCCTAAGAAATGAGATCCTAGTTATCTAACTATTTTGAGGGTGCCCCCGACAGAGACCCCAGATGATTTGATGTTTAAAAACTGCTGTCATTCCTCATGTACACTTCTAATTTAAATGGACCAATTTATTTAAAAGTAATTTAGGATACCGATGGCCATTATGGGGAACTTTTGAACTGCCCAAACTTCCTTTTCTTAAAACTGAATTGGACAGCACTAGCTCTGTAATTTCCAAACGGAATGGAACGTCTGTTTTGATTGGCATGCTAAGGCTTCCAAACGTCACCAGGAGTCTAAAATTGCCTCTTTAAAAAATAAAATTTAAAGATTAACTGAGGGGAACAATTAAAGTGGTTTCGGAAGCCTCCTGGTCCTCTGCCCCGCCTCTGCGCAGGCTTCCTCTTCCGCTCCTGTAAGGCCTACCTCTCCCTGCGCCCTCACTCTCAGCCACGCCCCTCTTCCCCAAACCTTTGCCGACTTGCTCTGCGTCTGAACCTATCAGAACCTGTCCCTTTAAAATTAAGCCTTCTGGGGATCAAAAACTAAACCTTTCTCTTTTTTTTTGATTTTTTATTCTTTTTTTTTAATTGCCATAACAGTGGTTTATAACATAAATTTCAGGTGTACATTGTTATATATTTTGTTTGCTGTGTAGACTACATCATGTTCACCACCCAAAGACTAATCACAACCCATCCCCACACACGTGCCTAACCTGCCTTTCACCCTCCTCCCTCCCCCTTCCCCTCTCCTAACCACCAGTCCATAAACCTTTAATTTCTTATATTCCCTGGACCAAAGCTGAACTGTGAGCCATAGCCAAAGATTTTCCCAAAATAATCAAAGATCTTCACAGATTTGCTGAGGAATTTAACAGAGTCATTCAAACTTATCAACCCGGTTTCTCTGACTTCTATCAGCTCATTCATATGCTTCCGGTGAAGGACAGGCCCAGCAGTGGATGAAAACCGCTAGTTGGCAAAATCCTGCAAGGTCTCTAGAGTTACAACCAGGTGACCAGCCCACTGACGTTGTGTGGTGAGGCTCAGGCAATCGCAGGCGACTTCATCCGGCAGTTCCCGGGGCTTCCCCACGCCTGCTGATTGGAACAAAGTTCAGGCTTGTGCACAAAACCCCATGAACCCGTCCATGGCTCCCACAGTTGACTCCAGATTGTTTTTAAGAAAATTCTGCCCTTCCTTCAGATCTTGATTCCACCCGGGAAGCTTTTAACTCTATGTTTATTAATAGTCTGAACAGGACCTTTCCTTCCAGTAAAAAGGACCAGGATGGAATAGGAAACTGTGCCCACCCAGATTTTGTTAATCTGGCAAACCAGCTCTCTCGCACTCTAGATGAGTCACCTAAAACAAAGACCACTAAAATTCTTTTTTTTTTTAATTGAGTTATTGATAAGTTACAATCTTGTGAAATTTCAGTTGTACATTAATGTTTGTCAGTCGTGTTGTAGGTGCACCACTTCACCCTTTGTGCCCACCCCCCACCCCACCTTTCCCCTGGTAGCCACTAAACTGTTCTTAGTCCATAATTTTAAATTCCTCATATGAGTGGAGTCATACACAAATTATCTTTCTCTCGCTGGCTTATTTCACTTAACATAATTCTCTCAAGGTCCATCCATGTTATTGCAAATGGAATGATTTTGTTCTGTTTTGCAGCTGAGTAGTATTCCATTGTATATATGTACCACATCTTCTTTATCCATTCGTCTGTTGATGGGCACTTAGGTTGCTTCCACATCTTGGCTATTGTAAACAGTGCTGCAATAAACATTGGGGTGCATAGGACTTTTGGGATTGCTGACTTCAAGCTCTTTGGATAAATACCCAGTAGTGGGATGGCTGGATCGTATGGTAGTTCTATTTTTAATTTTTTGAGGAATCTCCATACTGTTTTCCATAGTAGCTGCACCAGTTTGCATTCCCACCAGCAGTGTATGAGGGTTCCTTTTTTTTTTATTTTTTATTTTATTATTTTATTTTTATTGAGTTATTGATAGGTTGCAATCTTGTGAAATTTCAATTGTACATTAATGTTTGTCAGTCATGTTGTAGGTGCACCACTTCACCCTTTGTGCCCACCCCCCACCCCACCTTTCCCCTGGTAGCCACTAAACTGTTCTTGGTCCATAGTTTTAAATTCCTCATATGAGTGGAGTCATACACAAATTATCTTTCTCTCGCTGGCTTATTTCACTTAACATAATTCTCTCAAGGTCCATCCATGTTATTGCAAATGGAATGATTTTGTTCTGTTTTGCAGCTGAGTAGTATTCCATTGTATATATGTACCACATCTTCTTTATCCATTCGTCTGTTGATGGGCACTTAGGTTGCTTCCACGTCTTGGCTATTGTAAACAGTGCTGCAATAAACATTGGGGTGCACAGGACTTTTGGGATTGCTGACTTCAGGCTCTTTGGATAAATACCCAGTAGTGGGATGGCTGGATCGTATGGTAGTTCTATTTTTAGTTTTTTGAGGAATCTCCATACTGTTTTCCATAGTGGCTGCACCAGTTTGCATTCCCACCAGCAGCGTATGAGGGTTCCTTTTTCTCCACAACCTCTCCAACATTTGTTGCTATTGGTTTTAGATATTTTTGTCATTCTAACGGGTGTAAGGTGATATCTTAGTGTAGTTTTGATTTGCATTTC